TAATTCAATAATCGGTGTTAATCGATAGGGAAAGCCATTGCTACAAACTGAGAAATTATAATGAAGTTTGCGGACATGGTTAAGTTCAGTGGGGGATAGACGCTGATATTGGCCGTGGTGGATGAGATTGTCATCGTTTTCATTGTCATATGGAGTCGATATGGTGGTGTTGTTCTTTGTGACTAGTGGGCAATACGTATATAAATGAACAACGCGTATTAGTTGTGGAATATAAAAGGGTATACTTACAGTGGAGCAGAAGAGTTGTTTTCATATCTCACATTATCTTCATGAAGATAAATCACATTATAGTTTACCTAGATTCTGAATAAAGAAAATTAATTACATAAGGTTAGGTTAGGTTCAAGTGGCAGATATGTGTCCTAGAAAACTTATTCTTGTTCAAATAATGGCTACTTGTGTTATCACAGGTTTGGCGTTTATTCATATATGAACCAAAAAGTCAACACACGACTAACGTTGAAGTAGGAGTGGCGGCTTTGTGTCCAAGAAAGCTCACTTGAACTTAAATAATCGCACAATTTTGTACTACTGGATTGACATTTCTTTATACATGAACCAAAAAGTCCACATACGACCATTGCTGAAAAGTAGCGACTTCCCCATTAGGTAAAGGTGTACGAGCTTGTCAGTTCTATGAACTTGTCTAAGTCTCTAATTTTACAATATGACAGGTCAATCCAAACGATATGAAATATGGAACCCGAAGATTTTAGATCTTCTTCTAGCTAAAGATGGGCTCTGACATATGAGTTGGAGCAGAGTTTCTTCCTTATCCTTCGGTAGTAACATAAACTATATTTTATTTTAAGAGTACGTTCCATTTATTAAATAATTTCGTCCTAGAATAGTGATAGCAAACAAATCAGTTAATAATAATAATATAATGATAATTTTTGACATAAATTAATGAATCCTTTCATACTTGAGAGAACTAAATATTACAATCATAACAAAGTGCAAACTTGAATAGCTTCGCTTCATGAATGTTATCTTCTAATTGCTGACAGAGAATTATTAAACCAAAAACCATAGAATTTCGACTCGCCGCGGGTACGCATGTTATAACATTTGCACAGCAAATCGACAGATGCTGTACATATTCATAGGACTCTATTTATGCAAATGACTCTGTCACTTCATAGTTATCTCAGTGCATAAGGAGACTTAGGACGTTTGTATTCAAATTGCATGACCACAAATTGAATTGAAATATCAATATTTGCCGGTGCCACGGCCTGCTCTGGACAACCTTATTCACTTGAGATTAATACGAGCAGAAACTAAACATACCTTAAAATCCAATTAAGGACGCAACCGAACACATGTGCTCCTATACCCACTGCCAGGCCTAATGCAACCAAGCATAAAAATGGCGACATCATAGATGAATAGATAAATCTGTGCTTATGAATATTTCTAGGCTTGTGCAAGTGCATCTACGAATGTGCATCCACTTAGGCGTGCAAGTTAATATATAATTTCCTGAAAACAATAAAATTCTATATATATTTATATATACCATATATATATATATATATATATATACATTCGCTTACAATGTAAATCCACAAGAAATTCACCTTTGTATTTCATTATTCAGTCATTAAGTGTTCGAGCGGAAATTGTTGATGATTTTCTAAATTTGATATTCTGACTATGTGTTTGTGTGTGTGTGTGTATCTATGTATGCAAATAGTATATGCACTTCATTCGTTTACTCGTTCGATTTGAAGCACTTACAATGCATTAAATGCCGTATTAAATAATTTTGGAACGAACGTATGCGGGGTATGTATTTGCACTTGTGTGAATGGTACTTAGACGTCTATAAAATAATTATATTTACAAGGCACTTAGGCGAGGCTTAAATTTTACTATCTAATTGCTGTATATTTGAATAAATTTAAATCCTTTATAAGCACTCGTTTCAATGTAATTATTACATTCAAAATATTGTTCCATAATTGTTCACATGAATTTTTAAAATCAGAGGAAATTAAGTTTAATCCATGCTACTTTTGTGTTCACAATCTATAACAGATATTATTAATAGTATATTATATTTTTTGTGGCTACATATGAAGTATGTTATAACTAATATATTATTTTAAATAATTAGTATCATACGGGTAGAAATTGATGAAAGCAGATACTAAGGACTACTTGCCATACATAAATATTTTAAATTTCGAATTAAATAAGTAACTAGATAAATTTTATTCGACTTTTGAAAACAAAAGTATAGTTTCGTAATACTTAACTAGTACTTATTAAAATAAAATTATTATTAAAAAGAAATGCGAATATTTCCTAAGACCACTGATGATGATTAGTTGGCAGTACTCGAAACAGTGTTTTATAGTCAGCCAAATTTCAATAAATGAACTAAAATTTTTGTTCTGGTCTTTTCTTTGCAATTCGAACTCTTCTAACATATAAATAGTTTTTTTTTGTCATAAGACACATCACTCTCATCAAGAAAAAATGAACATTATAAAATTATGATATTAAAGGAGTTTGTTAAACCAATATACACACAGCAGTGATATAGCTTAATCAATACTAAATCATGAGCTCATAAATATGCGCTCAAAAATGTTCAAACATTGATTAAAATTGTTACAGTAATTAATTCTAGAATTAATCCAAAAGGATAGACGAGGAGACTAAAATTAATGCGTCCAAAACCAAACGTTTGAGAAACTGATTGCCAAGATACTACACAGTTTCATGATGCTATCGTATCAATAGAATGACATTGATCGGGACTACAAATGAGCTCGGATCAATAGCAGTTCAAATTTTTTGATATAAAATGCTGTAAACATTCACACATAATTTATGCATATTAAATTTAAAGTATCGATTTCAGCATAAAATAGATGTTTAGGAGTTATTTATTATCTATTGCAAGACTCTCATTCTCTGGAAGTGGCGTTTTACACTATTATTAGATTTGCGTATCATTCTCTGCTTAACCCGACAAAAGAAGCCTGTATGCCATACTATACATCAGTCCATACAGTGAGATTTTGTAGATAACATAGTCAGTTACTTGCGGGTGTTTACTGTCTTAAATGTAACAATTTCACTTGTTGACCTATCCAGCAGGTAAATACTGACTTACTTACTTATTGAAGACAAATTGATAGAAAAACTTGTCTTCCAAATGTTAAAATATTTAATATACCTTATGGAAATCCCATAAGTCCAATAACATTATCTCTGCCTGCCTAGCGAAGAAGCGATTTTCAAAACAATGAAGTTGCTTAGTCTACAGTCTTAAGCAAAGACATAGAAAATGACTGATGAATTTTATCGTCCCTTGATCGTTGCAATTTTTATATAATCCACTTGTCAGTATGCTTCAAATCTATAGTTTGGAATACTGGTCCCTTTATTTTCATCTAGTCTTGCCTATAAGATTGTAGTCTTAAAGGTAGTCTTATATGTGTATATATATGTAGTCTAAATTATATATTTTATGAACCGATGGGAAGCTTTTAATTTTGTTCATTTGAGAATTTACTGTAATCGAGCATTGTTGGACTAAGTCCAACTAAAAGATATTGGACTAATAGATATGCAATAAACCGGGCTATCTTCAGATTTTTTTTTAATTACTAAAATTGTGTTAAATGATATTGTATCAATTTTTTTCTTGCATGAATTAGTTCTCTCTAATTAATAGCAGAACAGTTAGTCAGACCAAAGAAAATTTAATATATTAAGATATCTGTGGATATATATTTTTAGTACTTAAATTAAGTGACATTTACTCAATAGTTTTCTTTGCAAGAATAACTTATCTTATAATCTATCTAATCCAATGTACTGATTCCTTTGACTTATAATTATAAAATATTTTGAAATCAATCAAATATTGGGGTATTAGTGACAAGAACGCCTGAGGTAAAATTTTATATTAGAGTTCCATGTTTTTAAATATGAATCCGAAATATACAAATACCTCAATATATTTCAATTAATTTATTTTTTGTCAGTGTTGAGTACTTAATTTATCAAATTTGTGTTATATATGACTATCACGTAGATTGTACTCGCTGGGTATCCTGTAAATGGGTTAGTGTAGAGTAGGTTTTGCATTCTTCTGCATCTGAACCATTAGAGAAGAATGAAAAGTTTTCACTGCTGCACTAATGAAATATCACTCGGATTCCAGTCGCATACATTGTCAAACTAATTACAAAAATTGTCCTTTTTTCCGGTTGCAGTTGCAGCAATTGCTGCAGTTTTTATTTTGCATTTTGCATTTTGCATTCGTTTAGTCTGTTTCGTATTTTCTTCCTTTGATTTAGCTTACTTGGAAAGTTTTTACTTTTAATGCAAACAAATATTCCTACAAACGAATGGAACTGAAACACTAAGTGCGGTGCTATATGCTCCAACTTACACATGCTGAGGGATAACTACATAAATGGAGAGCTCGAACTTTCAGTTTTTGAATTACGCAAATTGTTTTTTAAAAAACTTTGTCTGCAGGATACTCTGCAGCGGTAAAAGCTGAAAGTAATTGCACGTATAAAATGTGTTTTATTTTGCTTATTAAAAATTTTCTAAATTTAAATGTTGGAAATATTCAACAAAAATTATTTATATGGCAAAGTGAAGAAGGACTCACTGCGTGTGTATGTAGAGTGTGTGGTAAAATATGTCCTCGTCTTTGCATATACATGTAAAATTTAATTAAATATACACAGTTTGCATCGATGTCAATGTGAAAGTGTTTCTATCTGTGTATGTGTGTGTGTGTGTGTGCGTTGGAAGCATCAAAATGCAACTAATTTATGGTGCTCCATTTAAACTTTAGCGCAATTGCCAAAATTTCATAAAATTTTCATTTTAGATACATGGAATGTACAATCAAGTTTATTACAATACTTTTCCCCTCAGCATAAAAAGGATATTTTACAGTCTGCCTCAAAAAATGGCTACTTGTGTCGCCTTTGTTTCTGTCACCGCTTAAAATAGCGTCCATAGTCGCCATAACAAATACTCCCAGTACCATCACAATCACCATCACCATCACTAGCACCATCACTGGCACCATCACCAGTAACAGTACCAGTAACAGTACCAGTAATAGTACCAGTACCCGCACTGGCATCTGCATCAGAATCAGCATTATCATCAGTATGGCTCTTTGTGGTGCCGGTACTGGAGCGGCTGTTGACAACGGCGTCGTCACCATCGCCGTTGAAGGCAACTCAAATAGAGACAAAACAGCAGCGTTGGGGCAAAGAAAAGAAAACAAAATCAAATTAAGGCTAGAATAGAAAAAAAGGATATCAACAAAAAGAAGAAAAAAATACGAAAAGTAAAAAGACACAACACAAGGACGTATACGCAGCAACATAGAAAGCCAAAAGGACATTCAAACTCTATGTACGAGTATATGGAATAAAGCTGAATAGTTGTGACGTTTGTCTTCTCTGCTTGACAGTATGGAAAGCGCGCACAACATCCTCAGTTGCAAATAGAAGTTCAGTTCATTCTTGCATAGAAGCGATACAATTTAATATAAATTTAAATATTTTAATTTTAGTTGCAAAAAAGTGGCAACTTTATTCCCTTTTCCTTACGCACACACATAAACACTCGTATTCAGACAACTTTTTACACTCTTTCACTCTGTTTTGTTGTAGAAAAAAAAGATACAGTCTACATAGTACGTGTAGTACATATAGTATATATAGACAAAACGATGAAAAATTGCATGAAAGGACGAAAAGCGTGGAACGCGAGCGGTACGCGTTGTTGCAATTCCTTTAAATATAAACAAAAAGTGGACAACTCTAAACTCCTTTGAGCTGACAACGTTGCTTTGTTGCATAAAATTAAAAAGTTTAATTTCCTGTTGGAAGCTTTGATAAAAAATAAGAAGACAAAATAATAGAAAATTTTAAAGGAGAATACAAATAATACAAAAAAAAAAATAACGTTGAAGTGAGAAGCGAAAAACGAAAGCGGACAACTTGGCGGTAAATTTGCTTATAACAGTTGAAACACAAAGAGCCGGACGCATCCGTTGACATAGAATGTATAAGCAAGCTTTGAAAAGTTTCTGAAGATAAAATATCAAGGATAAAAACTAAAAACCTAATTTCTTCTTCTATCACATTTGATATTCAATACAGTGAGATTTAATAAAATAATTGGTAAAATTTATATTTAAAGGATTCTATTATAATATGGTATATACAATCGTGAAAGTGAAGTGAAAATGCTGAAGATTAAAATTCTAAACACTTAAATATAATTTTTAAAATCAAATGAATTCAAAAAACCTTAAAGGATTCTATTATTTAAGTTCATTATCCAGCGTAATAAATTATATGTTTGAAGCAATGGGAGAAACCGCTTCCATTTTTCAGGCAAAGGTCCATGTCTTACAGCTATGTGCGAGAGAATGTGCGGTAACAAAATGTGCATTCTCTCTGACAGCCAAGCAGCTCTTAAATCTTTAGCAAACTCTTCATCGAGGAACTATGTTCCTCTTATGTAGGTACCGGGACTTGAAAGGCATGAGGGCAATAAAATAGCAGACTTCCTAGCAAAGAAGGCTGCTTGTACTTCCTTCATTGTTCCAGAGCCCTTCTGCGGGGTAACAAATAGCTTTAAAAATAACTTATTATGTGAACGGGAGAAACAAAATCTACTTGAACATTGGAGAGCCCAAACAGGCATACGACAGTCTAAAAGATTCACTGATCCTGAGCACATCAAAGTTAATGCTATACTAGTATGATATCCGTTGACTGCAGTTATTTCTTATGGATAGATAAAGGTATGTCATAATTTAACTACAGTTTCGAATATATGCTGAAAATATGTTTCTTTTAGCTTCATTTGAACAGATTAAGACCTTATATTGTTACTTAAGGTCAGTGTTTTATCAGATCAAATTCAAAGAGGGCATATTTACAGAATATGAACACAATTTGAAGTTATAAAGATAGATCGGGGAGTTTAACTATATAGTATGTTAAATCATTCATAGTGTATATGAATGATTTTTCTTATATTTTTCTTGATCGGCGGGATTTGAAAATATTGGGGCTGTCATTTTATCTTTTAATCCAACTAAACCTTTCATTATATATTAAAATTATGTCATTTATGCTAAAATAAGGAATAATAAATCTGTATTAATTCTTAATAATTATTAAGGTGCTATTAATGTAATTTATACAAAATTGTGATAAATTTACAATCGAAATATTTTTTGTTAGATGTATGAAATTAATAAGTTGAATTATTATAAATTATAAACTACCATATTAATTTAATTTATATAAAAAAAATTTAGATTAAAATAACGTTATAAATTATTTACGTCATTGATTTAGGATTCAGATGGTGACTAGCATTTGTCACTAGTTAAGGAAACTAGCGATAGGTAACACCAAGGCATTACAAAGGCGAATTTGACCATCATTTGGGGGATATGGAATCGAATGGTGCGAAAGCACTTATTGAACTCATAAAACCTCTTGTTAAAGTGGCCGCGATTCTTAGTTGGGTATTTGACGTGACCAAATTAAATTGTTTACGTTTCTAGTTATGAATTATACTTCTCCATCTAGATATTTTAATTTTATGATATTTATGCTCTTTAAAGGACCATACTGTAAAAAATTTCCAAATGTTACGCCAGAAGAACATAGACGTTAAAATCCATTTTGTGTAATCTTAAAAACCAAATATAAATTAAATACACTTCTGAAGCTTCTTACCACTACGTAATATTACATATCCAGAAAATTTCACTTGTAACATGATAAATACTTATTAATGGAATTTGCTATAAATATTTATTGTGTTACAATAAGTGTACATTACATGGTTTTTAAGGTAGTTCAACTGAAATTATATATACCTTACATCCATATCTGCGGTTTCACTATAAACAAATCCGAAATCAAATGGCTGTAGTAGTTAGTATTGAGGGGAGTTCTGCATTATTCTAGCAAATTAATATGGAAAGTTGCTACAGTGATGCTTCTTGGTGGCTTTAAAACGACCAACCGTTTAAATAAAGAAACGAGAAATCTGGATAAAAAACAAGCCTCTTAATTAATTGATAAAGATTCGATACTCCCCACTTACCAATTGTAGTGAAAATTCCCTTAAATGAACTATAACAGGATAAGGGATTCTCTTCGGGCAATAGACCAAAGTAAGTAAAATGAAAACTGAGGACAAACAAGACTGCATGACTAAAACAAGTATCACAATATTCGTTTTTAAGTGATTTCTGTGTATTTACTCTTTGAACTTTGGGATTTGTTTGCATATTTTGTATATTTATTACACACACTTCGTTATTTAATTTTATTGAAATCAGTTAGGGCTTGGGTAAACCGGAAACCCTAAGATAGCGCTAAGATATATAATCGCAAATATGCTAATTTTCATATAATATATTTTTATTTTTAACTTCAGCTTACACAGTCATATATTGCTTTACTGAGTTTTTAATTAATGTTTCACATATACGTAAAGTATAGGATTTCATATGAATTTTCTATTTGAAGTACTTAGAAATATTCTAGTAATTATTCACAGATATAGAGTCTAAGTATTTTCTACACTGCTTCACTTTTCCCCCTGCACTAATACACAAGAGTAGACCAGTTCCGCTTCATGCACGATTCCTAACCAAAGCATGTATTAATACCTCAAATAAAAATCGTCTGAAGGAGGCAAAAGGAAGAAAAAGGAACTAAATAAGTGCATTAACTCGCACACAGAAATAATTTAGTGTATTTTCTGAAGGATCTGCTGTGTTTATAAATTATTTATACATTTGCATCCTTACTTGCTATTTGCTATATATTGCAGGGTATAGTTTCATTCTTTGTGAGTAGTTCTGGTATTTATATTTTTAATGTATGTGTGAAGTGAATTTTTTAGACCCTCAAGTTTTTTTTCTAGTTTTTTTGTTGCCAAAAATGTAAAGCAAGGACGAATTAATTGCAGTGCTCGGAGGCTTTTTCACTTAACTTTCAGTTAAACGTTGAAATATGAACACAGAAATCTCTTCTGGAACGTTTTTTGTAAGTTAAAATTATACGTTTTTGTAAATTCACTCGCATATATGAATGCATATACCATATAAAAGCTTTTGGTATTTAATTTTTTTTTATAATTTCTTTTTTCTATATTTGGCCTATTCTGCTATCGTAATAGTCCTTTTTTTGGAATCCTTCTTTCTTTTTTATTTTTATTTTTATTTGCATTTGATTAATGTGCTGTAGTTGCATGCACTTCATTTTTGCACAAAGAGAAAGTTTGTACAATTTTGATGTGTGTTTTTAGGCGCGTTTTTATGTGTAATGAATTTGCATCGATGCGATTGGCCCAGAAAAGTACATACGAGTATGTATCTTTTTAAAAAAAAAATATATATATAATTTTGGCAAGAAAACAATATTTTATTTTAAAATTTATTATTTAAATTAATATTACATATATGTAAAAAAATGTATACAGTACATATGTATGAAATATTTATATACGCATTTGATTAATGTAATGTAATCAAAAAAAAAATAGTCTTAGCTCTACCGAAACTTCAAATCACTTATAGTTCAAGGGTCTTTAATATCAAATATAATATTGAGAAAGTTTTTTCTATATGTTCCTGACTTGATATTGTTGATAAAAATAGGTAAAAAAACGATTCTTGATATTGTAATGAATGCTGTTTCCGAAGAAAATTTTCTCGTCTTACTCAACATTAGTAAGTTGTTAGTTTCAATGTCATTATCGACTTAGTAAATTCTATTTTCTTACGAATGTTCTAAAATTCATTTGGAGAATTTCATAAAAAACCAGTTGCTATTTATGTGCAGGTCTTAATGCTGACTAAGATTCTGCAGAAAATAAGCTATAGAGTGCATAAATAAGGTTCGATCAAGGGTAGTTAGCATCCAATAAATGAGAAGCAGTTCCTTGATTTTTCTTAAACTTACGGTAATATAGAGCAAACTATTAAAAGTATAGTTTCAATAATTGTTTGCATGATGCTAGCACCATTAACAAGTCTGATTGGCGAATCATCTTCTATGACTAGAAAACAAGTAATCAATATATAAAAATTTTATCCCGTACTATACAGTGGTACTATAATATACTTTAGTATAAAATTTTGAAATTCAAATAGATATGTACAGTTATGTATGTATATATCAAAAATTCACT